TTTTGAGTTCTTACGGTCTGATACCTAATCCTCCAAGAGATGGGAGACATTGTGACTTCCTTGGTAATTAAAATTTAACTGGCCCAAAAAATAAAACTGTTAAGGCAAAGGATTTTTGTTTGGGGAAAGTCTATAATTTGAGGATTCAACTTAGCTTTCAAGAACAGAAAAGTATTTACATAACTAACACAATCTCAGCCCACTGCAATCTCAGCCTCCTGTGTTCAAGCGATTCTCATGTCTCAGCCTCCCAAGCAGCTGGACTACCGGCGCCCGCCACCACACCTGGCTTGTTGTTGTATTTTTAGTAGAAACGGGGTTTCACCATGTTGGCCAAGTTGGTCTTGAACTCCTAACCTCAAGCGATTCGCCTGCCTTGGCCTCCCAAAGTGCTAGGATTAGAGGCGCAAGCTACCATGCCCAGCCTGAACTTGTCTTAAAGCTACTCTCACTGGAAAAGAATAGGGTACTGGGGCACCTCCTTGCAGAATAGTTGCTGCCCTGAGACAACAGTGCAGTAGACCACATCTGAAACATGTTTGAGTAAGCAGCTATCATGACAATCACTTTTAGAACATTTTCATTAGCCCAGAAAGAAAATCTATACTCCTAGTAATTGCTCCCTGGTTTCTCCCAAGCAGCAGCAGCAGCAGCAGCAGTAACACCCCCACCCTGACTCCCACCTCACTCTCCAGCCCTAGATAGCCGATATGTAGTCTCTTGTGACTGGCCTCTTTCCCTAAGTATAATATTTTCAAGATTCATCATGCTGTATGCATGTATCACTTAATCACTTTTTTTTTTTGAGATATAGTCTTGCTCTATTGCCCAGGCTAGAGTGCAATGGTGTGATCTCAGTTCACTGTGAACCTCCCCTCCCAAGCAATTCTCCTGCCTCAGCCTCCCAACTAGCTGGGACTACAGGCACACGCCATCATGCCCAGCTAATTTTTATATTTTTACTAGAGATGGGGTTTCACCATGTTGGCCAGACTGGTCTTGAACTCCTGACCTCAGCTGATCCACCTGCCTCAGCCTCCCAAAGTGCTGGGATTACAGGCATGAGCCACCATGCCCAGCCAGTATAGCATGTATCACTTTTGATAAACTCTTGAAGGTGTTCTTTATTCAGCGTCTTTTAAAAACATCTTTCCAGTATCAGGTACTTCTCTGTAGTTCTTGGTTTATAATCGAGTCAGTTGCCTTGCCAGCGATGTCAGCACTGCAGTTTTTACCTTATGGATACAGGGATTTGTTGCTGTATGAGTAGATTAACAACAGAATCTATACCATTTTTTTTTTGAAACAGAGTGTCACTCTGTCCCCCAGGCTGGAGTGCAGTGGTGTGATCTCAGCTCACTGCAACCTACGCCTCCCAGGCTCAAGCAATTCTTGTACCTCAACTTCTTGAGTAACTGGCATTACAGCCACGTACCACCACACCTGGCTAATTTTTTGTAATTTTAGTAGAGACAGGGTTTCACCGTTTTGTCCAGGCTGGTCTCAAACTCCTGATCTCAAGTGATCCACCTGAAAGAAAAAAAATCTGTACTCTTTCTTTCAGCCTCCCAAAGTGCTGGGATTATAGGCATCTGGGATTACATACGCCTGGCCTACGCCATTTCTTAGTGAAGCCTTTTCCCTTTGCTTTTCTGCCTTTAAGAGATACATGAGGACAGGCATGCTGGCTCACACCTGAATCCTGACACTTTGGGAGGCCAAGGTAACAGGATCACTTGAGGCCAGGAGTTTGAGACCAGTCTAGGCATCCTAGCAAGACCCCATCATTAAAAAAAAAAAGAAAGAAAAATTAGCTGGGCATGGTGGCACATGCCTATAGTCCTAGCTACTCAGGAGGCTGAGGCAGGAGGATCACTTGAGCCCAGGAGTTCAAGGCCGTGTAGTGAGCTGTGATCCCACCACAGCACTCCAGCCCTGGTGACAGAGCAAGAACCTGTCTTTTAAAAAAAAAAAAAGAGAGAGAGAGAACTAGAGAGAAATACATACATATATCTAAGTCTGCCTACTCTCAAAAGATGTTAGATATGACCATTATTCTCCAAAGAGTTTTATAACAATTGCAGTGATTCTGTTGTATGCTTTCATTCTTTTAGTATCTTCTTGGATATGGTAGTAACAATTGAGAAACTTTATATATTTATGAAGACCCTTCTATCAGTATTAGAGCATTTCATGCATATTCTTTGTTCTCACAGTTTTTTAAAATACCATCTATCATTTTCAATATATGTTAAGCTAAAACATTTAGGAGCAGAAAAACTTGCACCAAATTATTTTACCACTTGGTAGGGGAGCTAAGTTGTTGAAGGACTCCATCACATAAGGCATCCTTAGCTATTTTTCTTGATACTCAACTGTTATACTCCTGAGGATTTTAACTTGAGACGTGTGGAAAAGCTTTCTTTGGCCATCCACTGGGAGCTGAATCATATATTTACGACATTTTGAGTAGAAGCATTCTTCATTCTTAAAGATATTTATAGAAATTTTTTTCTACCAACTATTTATAAATTGTTATTTGAAGACTTACTTGGAGAGGTTCCTAATTATCCAAACTACTAATTTGCATTGGTTTTCTTTTGCAGAAGCTGAGTATTTATGGTGACTTGGAGTTTATGAATGAACAAAAGCTAAACAGATATCCAGCTTCTTCTCTTGTGGTTGTTAGATCTAAAACTGAAGATCATGAAGAAGCAGGGCCTCTACCTACAAAAGTGAATCTTGCTCATTCCGAAATTTAAACATTTTTCTTTTAAAAGAAAAGTGTAATAAGCATCTAAAATTCTACCCCTCATAGAGCTTTTAAAATGGTTTCATTGGATATAGGCCTTAAGAAATCACTATAAAATGCAAATAAAGTTACTCAAATCTGTGAAGACTGTATTTGCTATAACTTTATGGGTATTGTTTTTCTAGTAATTTAAGAGGTGGATGTTTGGGATTGTATTATTTTACTAATACCTGTAGCTGTTTTGTTTCTTGCTTTGGTTTTTGTTTTTTTCCCTTTTCTTAGCTATGAGCTGATCATTGTTCCTCCTCACCTCCTGTCATGATACTGTCAGTTACCTTAGTTAATAAGCTGAATATTTAGTAGAATATGATGCTTCTGCTCAGAAATGACCCACAAATCTGTAATTTGAAATCTAGCAGGAAATTACCTTTAATGACACTACATTTTCAGGAACTGAAATCATTAAAATTTTATTTGAATAACCATGTGCTGAAATTTGAGTATCTGATTTTCTAAACCTTCCTTCCTATCTCTGCCCGCCCAACCTCGAAAAGAATTATGAAATCTTCTGTGTCTATTGCTATATAATGTGATGGTCAGGGACCATTTTGATGCAAAAGTGATCTCTCAGCAGTAAATTTGATGTTATTTTGCACAGGCTATAGGTTTTTGTTGGATGAGCCTTTCCAAATAACTATTTTTCTCTGTCAGACAGCATATCAAGTGTAAGGTGAACATATTTTCAGAGAAAACTTCATTTTGACGCTAAGAATTAGACTCTTGTGATGCAGAATTAAGTATAAATTTTACTTGGCAAAAACCAGTGTTATTTTTACCTGAAATGATAGCAGATCTTAAAATTAGAATGGTATCAGGTTATAATAATAATACACCAGAATCTTAATATGATTCGTTGTTATTATGTACCATGAAATGTTAGAACCTTTCCTCAGACACAGGAGCATTGCTGACAACTCCATCAGTGCTGTTTGACTAAAGAGTAAGACAGTCACTCCCACTATGGCCTAGTCTTCAGCCTTCCTGAGTCCAAATAAAAAGCAGCTGACAGCTAATCAAGTAAGACTTGGGTCACAAAATACAGGTTTTTACATTTTATTTATTTATTTATTTATTTATTTTTGGAGAAAAAGAAGAAAGAAAGAGAAAGAGAGGAAAAAAAAAAGAATACAGGTTTTTATTTTTAGTTTGTCTAGATTTGGATGATAGAAAGTTGTGAACACATCCAGATGGGGAAGAAAGGAAGAATTGTCAGTCATTGTCAAGCAGTCATTGTTTCTTTCTTATTTTTGTGAGAAAACATGGGATAAAACATGGGGACTCAGCCAGGCACAGTGGCTCACGCCTGTAATCCCAGCACTTTGGGAGGCGAAGGTGAGAGGATCACTTGAGATCAGGAGTTCGAGACCAGCCTGGGCAACATAGCAAGACCCTCTGTACAAACAAACATGGGGACTATATATAAAACGTGGGGAGTGAATCGGAGTTACTGTTAAAAACATAATGAAAAGCGCTGTTGTTTTGTCTCCCATCATTAGTGCATACTTTGGTTCCTTAATCAAACACAGGTTTAATTGTAATGCATCCAATGAAGCAAACAGGGAGAAACACAAAATGCTGCTGTCTCACAGGAGTCAGAGAGCCCACTGTTAGAAAAACCTCCCTTATAAAAACAAAACAATACAAAGAATTATCTAAATCATTTGGGTCCAGAAGTTCAAGACCATCCTGGGCAATATAGTGAGATTCCCATCTCATTAAAAAAAAAAAAAATCTGGAAAGAAGGAGCAGCTGTACAGTTGTCTGTATTCTTCCACCTTCCCTTGGTTTTATTTCTCTTTGCTTCCCGAATGAGAAGTCCCCGAGATACACCTTCAATTCTCTTAAAAGTATTGATCCAAGTTTAGACAATGTCTCCCCTCTTGTTGAGAGAATTCCTTATATGTAAAAACATCAAGATAGTCTTGATATTTAGTAGGCACTCAAATATTTGTCTCCTCTTTTTTAGCATAACTAAGCCAGACTGATGTTTACATTTGAATATTATCAGCACAAGTAACCCTTTTAATCTCTCTTTCCTTAACTACTTGTTCTACACAAGAGTGTAGGGTGGGGGTATGTACAGTGATAAAGATTGAGTTAGTGGGAAATTTTGTCTTCTGTTTGGAAAGCTGGATTGTAGTGTTGATTTTCTGACTTCTTGTGGTAATTAAATTCTGAAAGAACCTCCGGAAGAGCCGAGCGTGATAACGGCGGGCACAGAGCTAGCAGGACGCCCTCTGACTTAAGATTTTTATTAAATATTTCAGAAGATGGCCGATCCTTGGCAGGAATGCATGGATTATGCAGTAACTCTAGCACGACGAGCTGGAGAGGTAGTTTGTGATGCTCAAAAAAATGAAATGAATGTTATGCTGAAAAGTTCTCCAGTTGATTTGGTAACTGCAACAGACCAAAAAGTTGAAAACATGCTTATCTCTTCCATAAAAGAAAAGTATCCATCTCACAGTTTCATTGGTGAGGAGTCTGTGGCAGCTGGGGAAAAAAGTGTCTTAACTGACAACCCCACATGGATCATTGACCCTATTGATGGAACAACTAACTTTGTACATAGATTTCCTTTTGTAGCTGTTTCAATTGGCTTTGCCGTAAATAAAAAGGTAGAATTTGGAATTGTATACAGTTGTATGGAAGATAAGATGTACACTGCCAGAAAAGGAAAAGGTGCCTTTTGTAATGGTCAAAAACTGCAGGTTTCACAACAAGAAGATATTACCAAATCACTCTTGGTGACCGAGTTGGGCTCTTCCAGAACACCAGAGACTGTAAGAATTGTTCTTTCTAATTTGGAAAAGCTTTTTTGCATTCCTGTTCATGGGATCCGGAGTGTTGGAACAGCAGCTGTTAATATGTGCCTTGTAGCAACTGGAGGAGCAGATGCATATTATGAAATGGGAATTCACTGCTGGGATGTTGCAGGAGCTGGTATTATTGTTACTGAAGCTGGTGGTGTGCTGATGGATGTTACAGGTGGACCATTTGATTTGATGTCACGAAGAATAATTGCTGCAAATAATAGAATATTAGCAGAAAGAATAGCCAAAGAAATTCAGGTAGTACCTTTGCAACGAGATGATGAAGATTAGTTACAGTAGCCTCCTAGTCGATTGCAGATACTTTTCCCAGATTTGGTGACTCACCGATGGATATGTGTTTCAAGAGTATGATAATGCTTGGTTTAAATTCTCTTTGTCCAGGTTAAAAATTTGGAACTTGTTCCATATTTTACTATGACTAGGTTTGTAAGAATTGACATAATATTTGTTTCATTGATTTAAAAACATGTGTATGTTAGAATGTACTTTAGGAAACATACCCAGGAAGTGCAGTTGATAAGTATAACATCAGCTGAAATAGTCAGTTTGGTGTTTCTAAATATCTGTGGTCCCCTGAAATTTTGACTTATTATATAGGTGCAGAGACACCCACTTAGAAAGTTACCTGTTCGGAAAAAAATTTCTCTTTAGTTTTAAAAACCGTATATAATTAAATTTGTAAGGATATACTGAATACTTCCTAGGCCAACATTTTTTTCTTTGCAGAGAACCTTTTTTGTTTTATTCTTCAGGGTTCATATAACACTTGGCCCATTACATACATATCTAGGCAACTAAAAACAAACATTGTATGAATGAATATTTTTAAGGTAGTAATTCCTAGTTGTTATAATACATACATAAAGTAGTGAGTTCAGCATTCTGTATTTTTGCTCCAGGCTTGAAGTAAAGGTTATCTAGTTAAATTTTTTATATTTGGCCGGGCGCGGTGGCTCACGCCTGTAATCCCAGCACTTTGGGAGGCCGAGGCGGGTGGATCACGAGATCAAGAGATCGAGACCATCCTGGTCAACATGGTGAAACCCCGTCTCTACTAAAAATACAAAAAATTAGCTGGGCATGGTGGTGCGTGCCTGTAATCCCAGCTCCTCAGGAGGCTGAGGCAGGAGAATTGCCTGAACCCAGGAGGCAGAGGTTGCCGTGAGCCGAGATCGCGCCATTGCACTCCAGCCTGGGTAACAAGAGCGAAACTCCGTCTCAAAAAACGCATGAAAAAAAAAAATTTTTATATTTTACATTACCATGCCATTTCACATTACCATACAGCCAGATAGCATTGCTTATTGTGGGCATTGATGCAGTGAATACATTTTCCAAAACAGTTGCCTATTTGGATTTGCTTTAAAGTCCTGCGTAAAAGAGAAGAAACTATTTCTATAATAAAAAGCACTCTCATCAGATATCTGACATAATTAGATACAATATAACATTTTACTAAATCCAGCATTCATGTTTTAAAGGTGTTTACACTGATTCGACTATGCTGGCAAATATACTGTATTGTTAATATTGAACTATTTATTTTTCTCTTAGTCTCTTTATTTAATTCACTTCATTGCTGCTGGGTTCTCTTCGGCCTTTAAAAATATTTCTTAGTGGTCGTTGCCCTGCAGAACTCAAAAAGAAAATTGTACTCATTCGTAGACATTTTGAAAGGGTTAATTTATTGATCAGCCTTATCCCTTGGCATGTGAACAGAGTACTAGACTTATTGTAGGTTCATATGAGCTTTATGCTGTAAAATGAAAAGTGCTTCTATAAAGTTTTCAAGGTAGGGGGTGATTTTATTGTTGTGTATATCTAATAAATATGTGATACTAAAAAAAAAAAAATTCTGAAAGAATAATTTACTTTTGAGAAAAAAGATTGTACTTTTGAAAAAAAAATCCCTAAAATATATGCAGCATAAAAATGTTTCTGATTTTGAAAATCCCAACCAAAGCAACAAAGGCTGAGCTTCAAAACCCCTTCTCCTAAAGTAGCAGTTTGGCCCTTCTTGGATGTGCCTAAACTTAGTTCCTTGTTTCCATCAAACAGTCATAATCTTTGCTAGCACACAGAAAACATCTTGAGAATCTGGTCTTGGCCCTATGCAAATTCTCAAGGGTCTCTGGTTCACATCTCCCAGAGTTCTAAGTCCTTCTTGGTTCATGTTCCTCATCTAAGAGGCATGCTAACTCAGGCAATTACAAAGGCAATACTAATCACCAGAATGAATGATCTAGGCCCAGATTCCAAATTTTTTTGCAAAACTTCATGGGCACCTTTCATTTATGATATGTTTTGTGGTAAATCAGAAATTACTAGATTATCTGGTCAATCTTATCTCAGAAATCCCTGTGGTGCATCATTAGGCAATCTGAGCCGCTGATCGGCACAAAACCCTGCACTGTCTGAGCTTATCTTCCAGCCAGAAGCAAACAGTTTACCCTTTGTTATTAGTCTGTCTGGATTTATCTTAGATAAATGAGCCATTTTTGTTAGGATTTTTTTAAATATATAAAGTAGTTCCATTATAATTTTTGTGGACTCAGATATCAAGTCCACATGTAAGGAATCATCGACAGATTTCCAGTTACTGTCACCACCACCCCAAGGCAGTAATTTTGTTCAGCTCTGCCTTTATAGATCCACAGTTTAACCATTCAGCAACCACTTGAGAGCCTGAGCAGCAGGCCCTATGCTAAATGCTAGGACCACAGTAAGACCCAGTGCCTGACTCCAGTTGCTCAGACGCTAAAGGAGACTATTATTAATGGGAAAAGTGCTGTGACTTGGTAAGCACAGACACATAGTTGGAGCTGTGTGCATTATGGGAGCACATAGGAGGACTTCTGGGAGAAAGTGATAGCCAAGCTTAAACCTGGAGAAAAAGGGAAAGCCAAGCAAAATACAGAGAGCAGTGTACCAGACAGTGGGGACGCTGTGCTCAAAGACCTAGAGGCCAGAGGGTGGGACACTGCAGATTGTTGAGGAGGCCAAGATAGAGCATACAAAAGCATACCAAAAGATGGGCTAGGCAGACCAGATAATAAAGGACCTTTTTAAACCTGCACTTGAACCTGAGCACAGCGGAGAGCCGTTAAAAAGTTTCAGCAAGAGTGTTCCATACAGTGTTGGAATGATTCACTTAGCAACGTGGATGATAGACCAGAGAGGGCAAGTCCAGAGGCCAACAATAAGCTTAGCCTCAGAGTTCTTTTTTTTAATACCCAAGAATACTATTTTCCTTTCATTTTACTTACAGTTTTAAACTTTTCTCTAGAATGCTCTCTCTGTTCCCCCACATTGTTGTCTGTCTACATGGTAAACCTAGGACTGGTCTCTGAGACCTGGTCACAGTCTGAATGTTGCCAGGCAAACTGGAAAGGCTGCCCCGTGGATACCTGGCTTCTTACCACTGTCCTTTCATTCTAGGTTTGCCAGCCAATCTCTAGGAACCCAGCGTGCTCTTGCGCCCCTCCCACCAGGTTTCCAGATGCTAAGCATGTCATATTTGCATTTGGGTTATCATCTGCATGAGTGACTGTTTTAACCTCTCTTTCCTTGACTATCTGTCCTACACTAGTGTCTAGGGTGGGGTATGTACAGTGATAAAGACAGGGATAGTGGGAAATGCAGTCTTCTGTTTGGGAAGCTGGATTGTAGTGTGGATTTTCTAACTCCTTGTGGTAATTAAATTCTGAACCACAGTTTTTAGACCTTTTCTGAAATATTACTGTTGAAGTCAGCTTCATATATTTCACCTTTTTTTTTTTTTGAGACACAGTCTCACTCTGTCGCCCAGGCTGGAGTACACTGGTACAATCTCTACTCACTTCAACTTCCACCTCCCAGGTTCAAGTGATTCTTGTACCTCAGCCTCTCAAATAGCTGGTACTACAGGTGCACGCCACCATACCCTGCTAATTTTTGCAGTTTTTAGTAAAGACAGGGTTCTGCCATGTTGTCCAGGCTGGTCTCAAACTCCTGGCCTCAGGTGATCTGCCTGCCTCAGCTTCCCGAAGTGTTGGGATTGCAGGCGTGAACCACCATGCCCATCCTATTTCGCTATGAAGTACTGTCTTCCTATGATATTAATGACTTATTTGTTTCAAGCAGAGGTTCTGAACATTTTTTGTACCACTGAACTTTTTGGTGATCCAGTGAAGCCTGTGGATCCCTCTTATAGCAAGGTTTTCAAATGCGTAAAACTGAATGTAAAGGATTACAAAGGAAACTGATCATATTCAAATAAAGGGAAGATACTTTTCAAAATGTTATGATACAGTAACATATGTACTTTATTAACACGGAATAAGGTTGCATGGTGGTTCTAAAACTACTGTAATTTCAAATTAATATTTTGAAATATCTAACAACTGTAATATATCTAAATGTCTCATTTCTACTGGTGACAAAGTCACAGGTACTCTGATCCTAATGTGTGTGGACTGTTTCCTATATTCGTAATCAAAGGAAATGTTATATTTCAGTTAGAAGTTGGTGAAAAGAAAGATTTAAAATTTTTCCTATTCAAGTTCACCAAACCCCTGGTTTAGAGGTTGGCTTAATTTTACTTTTGTCATTTTAAGAGTAAATGATTTTGTTTTCTTGTTCAACTCTAAATTATTTGTGCATATTTTACTGCCTCTTTTCTGCTTTTTATGTTCAAATTGTTTTTGCAGTGTTAGAACAGCAATAATTGAAGACTTGGGTGGAAAAAAATAAGCACCCGATTGAAAATGAAAGATTTCAACAAAAGCTCTTGATAATGTTATGTCCGGGTGCACCATCATTGCCACCATTACTGGAGCTCCAAATCTGTAAATTTCTTTATGCTTAAGTATGTAAACTTTAATAAAACTTGGATCATCTGCATTAAACAATAATGCTATCTTGTAAAAGTGTCTACGTAGGTAATTCACAATGGGGTTTGTTGATTCCCCATGACATTTGCAAAGCCCATTGTAGCACTCTCATATGTCATCTTAAATGGATTCTTATAACATCCATCTAGTGGATTAAAGACTTAAGTATAAAACCTAAAACTATAAAAACCCTGGAAGACAACCTAGGCTCCATTCAGGACATAGGCAAAGACAAAGATTTCATGATGAAAACACTAAAAGCAATTGCAATAAAAGCAAAAATTGATAAATTGGATCTGATTAAACCAAAGAGCTCTGCACAGCAAAAGAAACTATCAACAGAGCAAACAGACAACCTTCAGAACTGGAGAAAATATTTGCCAACTATGCATTTGACCAAGGTCTAACATCTAGCATCTATAAGGAAATTAAACAAATTTACAAAGAAAAAACCAAAACTATTAAAAAGTAGGCAATGGACATGAACAGACACGTCTCAAAAGAATATATACATGTCACAAACAAGCATACAAATAAAAGCTCAACATCACTATCATTAGAGAAATGCAAATCAAAACCACAATGAGATACCAT